TGCCTGTTAAGGTGAACTTTTTTCCTGGCGTCCTGGCCACCAATACCCCAGTTAAAATTGGTTGTTCATTTCTGTTTGTGGGATATTGCTGTACGCAAATCGGCTGCAGGATTTGTCATCAAATCCACAGTCACTTCACTTTACAGAAGGTAATGATGCACTTTGTGAGGGGCACTATATAAATGCTTGTTGATGTTGTTATCATGCTGTTGCAATGGAACTTAGGTGTTCTTAATAGACAGGTGGTTCATGAAAGATTTCTCAGTACAGTACATCACTGAAGATGTATCTTTAGGTTTCAAAGGTACCAGTGGGAAATCAGTGAGACTATGGACAGAATATATTTTGTTTGGTAAATGAGGAGAGTTGTGCTTCACTTCCAGTGGTGCCTTCCAGGGCAATTCACATCCTTACCTTGTTTGTATCAAAAGCTGCTTGTCAAGCATGTGTGCGTGAAATTGGTGCTCTTTTAAAAGAGAATGAAGAACGTTTCATAAGAGATGACCTTTTTCTCAAAGCCACTAAATATGAACCTGTAAATTACTGTACTCAGCGCAAACATACAACAGTGTACTGTGTAGCTTCACAAAACTATCTCCCAGCAGCTGCTGCTTTCTGCAAAACTATCTGCTTCACTTTAATAACTTTCTTTCTCTCTGTCTTTTCATTCACACAACCTTGCAGAAGCAAGATATTCTAAATCAAGTAAGCATATGACTACTTTTTATTTTGTCTGCTGTGCTTCAGTGCTTTTACTTGCTACATTTCCCCTTTCCACTGCATTTGATTGGATTATTTTTATTGAACTGCATTAAGGTGCCAAAACTGAACATAGCATTTACCAGCCAATTTGAAAACTTTTATGGCAATGGAACCAAATCTTCTCTGAAGTAAACGGTGAAGTTGCTTGTGATCACTGCAATGGTTGAATCAATGATTTCAATGTAGTCAGTTTACAGGGATAAATATTGATTAATTTTTGGGTGTGTTTGTGTACATGGAAGGCCAACACCATACTCAATAGTATCCAAATCAGACAAGAGTTCACATTTGAATGCCATCTCTGTCTGGAAATTTCCCTGTATCTGGAATGGAATGCCCAGAGTATTCTAGAGAGTACTAGATGCAGGTTGACTCAAGTCCCCAGAGTGTGTGTTGAGGTACTGCTTGTTTAACTAGCTAAAACCTCATAGCTTGCCACTGAGAACTGTCTGGCAAACTTTCGACTTCTTGTCCAGTTAGGACTACCTTATCATGGGAGGAATCCTTGCCCCAGTGACTAGTCAGCCACTCCAAGTCCTGCCAATGAGCCAGGCTGGCTGGTCTGTCATCACTGGGACCTAAAGTTCTAAGCATCCGCCTGATTCAGGAACCAAACTACTGAGATAACCACAGAATAATAAGGTCAAAGAATAGCATTCAATTTTTATTTTAGTGAGTGGTCAGTGGATATTCTGATTATTTTTAGAAGAGTGTGTTTTCTTTCTTCTACTTTTTGTATTTTGCTCATTCCTCATTCCCTCCTCCCCACCTTTGATGGCCAAGTTCTCTGCAATTATCTCACAATCACTTTGCCTTGTATTTTCTCTTCCTGCCTTCAAAACCATTTCAAAATAAAACTATCTCTTTGATCAATCCTGTGGTCAAACCCCTCAGTATCCTCTGCTTTGCTTCCTGCTTGACGATCCCTGTTGCCTTTCTAAAGCAATTCAGGATGTTTATCCAACATGAAAGGTGCTAAATTGGACAAGTACAAGATGTTAATTCAGTCTGGATCTTGATACAAGACCATACAAAGTCCACTAACAAAGTATCGCATAGAAACAATTTTTTTATAAAAAACATGAAATGATTTATAAATCAGATCTTCTTTCCTTGTTGTGATCCCCGTTTTTGTTCCATTTAATCTTTACAAAAAGAATCTAATCATAGGTTATTTGAATGGTGACCAGACATGCTAATATCCAGTACCTCTTCCACACTGTATCAGAGAATGTTTATTCTCATTAGTTCTTGTCCACACAGTAGTATTTCTGGGTCAAGTGTTTGTCCCACTATAAAAATCAAATTCATTTCTCTACATTTGGATCCTAGCCCACAAAGCCATTAGCCCAAGCTTGTAGGAAAATCAGTTCATATAATGGTCAGGAAGTGCTGAATGGAAGTTATTGCTTATGGCAAGTGCTTTTGCAAATGCAAAATCCTCCGCTGCAGAATCTGTTGCGGAGACTGAACAATATCCACAGTCGTGCTTTCAGACTGAAATAGAATTCTGTATGTTTACATAGTGTGTGTGTATATATATATGTTATATATATTATAATGTATATTGTATAATATGTGTACTATATATATATATAAGAGCACATGGCCTGCAACATGTTACTAAGGAAATAACTATTCAAGACGAACAGATCATCAATTAGGAACATTGTTCCAAGTCACCTGCCTTTAATAAACTCTGTTTCTTTATGGTTTGCTGCATCCTAAGAAATAGCAGCTAAGTCTGGTATACTTAATGTTATCAGATGGACACAAACAGTGTGGCCCTAACACACAGTGATCAAGAAGGTTCGAACTATGGTGCTCAGTTCATCTGATTCAAATAGGATGGTGCGTGGGGTCACTAAAAACATTTTTTGACGGGGGGCACCAAGGTGACAGACCTGGCAATTCAATATCAAGAATCAAGTCAATCCCCTGTGGGGGTCTGGTAGCCTGGAACCAGGTAAGTCCATAGTACATGTTGATAATGGTTCCACTACCTTGGATTGGTACAGGGACGTCAAGGAATGGACCAGTAAACCGAGCATTGGGGATGGGGACAGGGATCTTTCCCACTCGGCTCCTGTTAACCCTGCAAGCCAAAGGCCTAATGGGTAGTGGGGTTCATACTGAACAAAGGGTGTCAAGCGTGCCGTGGTTCACAATGGTTTAGCGGATTAAAATCTAGCAGTGCTCCATTGTGCACTCCAAACCTTGATTCTTGTCAACCTATGCCTAAACTCTTCAGTATTAGGTATTTAAGACACATCCCTCATGGGAGAGAATGTGTATTCCATAACAAATGGAAAACACATGCGTGGTAACAGAGGAGAAAGGGGCAACCCTTTCAATTCTGTCTAACTAGTGTCCCCTGCTGGAAAGTAAGTGTATGAATAGACTCAGGTTCCCCTGTGATGTCCCACTTCAGTCGAGTCTCCTCTTCTCACTATGTAGTCTTGCACCTCAAGAATGGAAACTTGGGTTTCATACTGTAGAACTGCAGGTATCTATTAATCTATACCCAGTATAAGTCTATGGCAACAGAAGTGGTGGAATAAATAGATACAAGATGACTATTTTTACTGCTTTGCAAGAAGCGAAGTGGACGGTGGCAAAGTTTTCACTAATTTATGCTATGCTAATTATTTATGTTTCTGTCTTGGGTTAGCTAAAGGAGGAGGTTGAGTATATCATTAAAAAATGCAGAGATAAAGCTTGTGCATTCTCGGATCACTGTAATTGCTGCTGCTTTTATCACTGTTCCATGGTTTTTCTTTCCATTCTGTATGTTTGAATTGATTCAATGAATGTTTTAACGTTTTTGGTAATTCGCTTTCACTCCTGTGGTTGATGTGGGTGACGCATGAATAAAGCATTGTGTCGTTAACAAATAGAGTCGATATTATGATTGATGCAGTTGTGTTATTGTTGTAATGAGATCCTGGTTTTGTTTGCTTCCTGGGAGTAAAGTTACCCATCCTAGTTCTGTTGATTTAGTGATGCAGATTTCCTCAAATGCCATAATGGGATTTTTTTTTCCATTGCATTCCTATGTTGAAATGTCTATTTTTAAGTAGGTGATGTATATGCAGATCTTATTTTACTGATTTCCAGGAAGTAAACATTTTTGGATTAGCTGGTTAGAGCACTCGCATTGCAAGCGAGAGACCTGAGTTCAATTCCAGGCAGGGCGAAACCTTGGGCAAGTTTCCTTACTCCACACGCCTAATAATAATCCCTCCAAAAAACCAAAAACAATAATAAATTGGTCATTTTCAATCTACGACTGTTTGTGGGACATTGCTGTGCGCAATTGGCTGCCGCGTTCGCCTACAAATATACAGTCAATTCACTTTACAGTGTGTTCTGTGAAGCACTTTGGGACATCCTCCCGACCTGAAAAGCGCTATATCAAATGCAAGGATTATTATTATTATTATTAAGGTTGAGTCTTATAAAAAGTGCAGAGATTAACCATGTGCATTCTCTCTCTGATCACTGAGTAAAGCTATATTTGAACACCTATCCGTGGATAGAACTCTTATCGTTTCTCAATGAGCAGAATTGCCCCTCTTGATATGTGATAGATACAAGTTTAGTCTTGCGTAACACCGTTCAGTCACCCATTTCATAGGTCACTCGTGTGTAATGCAGAACTGCTGGTGTATTTGTGTTGTATTTGTGTCGAGGTACACAGAGCTCATTTCACTGTATGTTGTATATCTTCCAAAATAATTGTGCATGACTGCACGTGAATATGTTCTGAAATAATTGTGCATGAACATACTGTATGTACTACACATATGAAATTAGGTCATGGGTGAAATAGACTTTCTGAAATATGGAAAATTTCAGATTATATGAAATAACATTTATATGAACATAAAATGTGTTATTAGTGTTATGAGTAAAATATTTCTCATTACAGAAGTGCAAATCACATTATCTTTATACTCTGTAACAATATTTGTCAGTACATCGACATTTTTAGCCATTGCTTCTCAAAAGTTTATAAATTGTGTTTTTGCAATTGCATAGATTAGCACAAGGAATTGGGTGGCAATAATATGTATGAATATGCTAGAGTAAGTAACATTTGGCTCAGGATTGAGGAAGACTAATCTACCAGCCGTAAAAATCTGTTTCACCCATGACCCAGGTTGAGTGAAGTTTGCTATTTAAACATGCGGTTGACCTCATTCTTTGCTTCAATATTGCTGTTTCTTTGTCTGCAGCCTATAGACTATGACGGCTTCAAATTGTTCATGAGAACGTACCTGGAGGTGGAGATCCTGGAAGAACTCTGCCAGCACCTGTTCATGTCTTTTAAAAGGAAGACTGTTCAGAATTCACCAGAGCCCCAGAGGCAAAGCTCAAGCACTTCACAGCTTAATCTGTTAGGTGAGTGGCAGAGCTAACGTCATTTCAGTGGTTAGGTTGAGTGATCTTTCCGATGCTTAGCCCCAAGTAGTCTGGGTGGCTGGAGATGGACATGGTCTATGAATTAACTGTTTATTAATACAGGGGATGGAGACCAAGTGATCTTAAAGTCCGTATAGGGACAGACCACACTAATAAGCTTAGAACATGTGCAGAGTCTAGGTTTGTGATTCAATTGTTTGCAACCAGACCAGGTGCTAACAGCACCCCTGAGCTACCAGTATCTGTTATGGGGACAATTTGTGATTGTTTATGAATAGTCCTTAGAAGACCACACTAGTTCAATAATCCTATTTGTCATCCACTGAAGCTTCAGAACAGTTGTTCTCTTGCATTTTGGCAGCTCAATTAAATGTTTGAGCTAGTGTGCGCAAACCTAAATTAAATATGAAGAGTGTTTTACCACTCCTGATTTGCATGTAAAACCAATCAATGTACTGTAACAAGTGGATGATGAAACTGTTGTCTCAATTTAGTTAAGATGCAAAGAAAGTTACACATTAATAAAATTGAATCATTAAATGCACTTTAATGAAAGCTCAGCAACAAAGCAGACGGTGTAAACAAGCTCTGCATATTCATATCTGTTTCCAACACTGAGCTCATTTTCCTGTTTCTAAATGTTAAATTGGCGGCAACTGGATTGTTCCCAGTGCTTATACGCAGGCTTGACGATTAATGATGACTATGTGCTAAGGTCAACTTCGCAAGAGTAAGCTTTGGTATTCTGGATGCATTTCATTTCAGAAACTAAAGAGTCTTGATGTGAAATTCATGAACTAAATATCGCATGCAGCCATCTCAAGAAAGACTTAAGTGGCTGCAGTTTTCTGATGATAATTACTGCCTTACTTCGCACTATTGCTCTCAGCGTTGGTTCTCATGCTCTTACTGTGCAGGAAATGTGCTGCAGATCGGACAGCAAATTAGAACACAGCTACTTGCTTCTTCCTTTTGATACCGTTCTCATTAAATAATATGTTTATGGGAGTTTCAGTGGATTTGTTTAGAGATTGATTATCAATGAGGAACACTTTAAAAAGTGTTGTTTCATTGATGACCATGCCATCAGACGCAGGCAGTTAAAGTTGTAGTGACTACAAATTATTCAATTTGCTTATGTTAATCTAGCGTTTCAAATCATTGAAAAGAGGGAAGGATGACTTGAGAAATAGTATTTACCAATTGTAGCAATTTACATCATGAGCACATCAACACCACATTTGGGGACGAGCAATATAGGATCTGTATTGCTGTAATATGTAATTAATGTACAATTTGAATAATCTATTCAGCACACAAATAGGAGTTGTTCGGGTCCATGAAAGAGGAGTTAATGTACCCAAGGACAGGTTGAACCTGTTCAGGTGGACTTTAAAGATCCCATGTTACCATTCGAGAAGAGAGATTCTCCCAGTGTTGTCACCTTGGGGTGTTCCTCCCGACGTGAAAGACACTTTATAAATGTAATTTTGTTGTTGCCATTGTCCTCACTCCATGTTTGTGGGATATTGAAGTGTGCAAATCAGCTGATGAGTTTGCCCACAAAACATGCAGTCGTTACACTTTATAATATGCCCTGTGAAGCACTTTGGGACTTTCAATTGGAAGGTACTATACTTCATGAAAGGATTATTACTATCATCATCTGAATTGCGTGATTAAATTGGAGACAAATTAGAGACAAAAGGTTATGAGGGGTGGGGAAAGTGAGAATGCCCCCCTCCCCCCATCCATCTGAATGTACCTTTCTTTTTTTCAACCAGATGGCATTTCTTTAGTGTAGGAGCTTTGTGGCTTTTATAAATGGAATATTTGAATCTATTTGATCATTTAAAGTAATAGCATTTGAATAGCAATTTTTTTTCCCTTGAAAGGATGAGAAGTAACAGTTGCGGCCCACATTTCTTGTGGTTAAATTAAATCCTGCAGGCCACATCCATGGCTTTGCTCATTTGAAATCAATTTATCCCGTTCATATTCGCCCACAAATATACAGTCAATTCACTTTAAAGTCTATTCTGTGAAGCGCTTTGAGAAGTCGAGAAGACGTGAAAAGTGCTCTATCGAATGCAGGGATTATTATTATTATCATGAGGACATATTAACGGTCACCGAAAAAAATCATCAAAATAAGAAAAATATCAAAAAGTATTTGAGCAGATAGCCTACAAAGTGGCCACAAACGGATCTCCGTGGTAACTGGTTAGGGAGTCGGGGCATTCCATTTCAATTAAAATACCAATGCACTCTCAATGGTGAGCTGGGCCATTTAATTCCAGGAACTCACTGCACTGCTCTGCTCACTTGAAATTTATAGGATCATAATCAACGTTTTTGTGGCCCTGAAGTCAAACGGTTTCATAAAACCAGTGGGCGTCCTTCCGACTTGAAAAGCACACTACAAATGTAATTTGATGCTGTTGTTATTGAAGTAGAAAGCATCAGTGCATCTCGGAGGAAACTCAATGCATACATGAGGGAGAAGGGAATAGAACGCTGTGGGAGAGGGGATTAGGAGAGTAGGGGGCTCGTAGGGTATATAAACACCAGCATGGATTAGTTGAATCGAACGGCTGGTTTCGGTGCTGTACAGACTGTGTAAACTTTGAACAACTTTTTATTTGCTCCGAGGCAAAGTGGTGAAAACGATTTATGTAAACAAATATCTTTTCTGTTTAACAGCTGATTCAGGTGATATGCTTTTCACAGTGTACAATGCAAACCTTACCTAAATAAAATAGTATTGCAGGTTTGCATATGGTGACTTTCTGAACCATTAGGAATCTTTTATTTTAGCTCAACCTAACCACCCCATCGCATAGAGTGATGCAGCATAAAAACGGACCCAGTAGTCTGTTCCAATGCAAACCTCCAACCCTCCTTTTCCCCTCTCCCACACTCCTCTGTTCCGTTCTCCCTCATGCATGCATCAAGTGTATGAATGGGTTAGGCATATAAATGTAATTATCAGCAAGGCACAAACCAAATTCAGCAGCGAAACAGATCCATTACTGAGCAATCCCCATTCATCTTCTGATGCAGCTACAATCCCAGTATAGTTGGAAGGGTTCCACACTGCTTACACTGTGCTGTTTATTGGAAGTTCTAGGGACATTATTACACTAAATGCCTCGCTATCCAACTAGTAGTTGGCTGTGTCCCAAACAGTACAAGTTGGTATAATCCACATGTATTCTGGGTATTGGGAACTCCCTTTACAAATAAAACCTTTCTCAAGTGCTGAATTGTCTTTTTACAAAGATATGTTGAAGTTTTTTTTTTGAGGAGTGAAAGTTGACTTTGAAGCGGAAAGGCAATTCAATTTAGTCATTTACAGGGTTTTTTCCAATGAAATTCAAGCATGATCGCTAACAAATGTATTTCAGTAAGCCAAGGGGGAAGAGTAAATCTGTGGGACCTGTGTTTGATTTCAGTTAGGGCCAAAAGGAATAAATAATGATAATCCTTGCATTTGCTGAAGCCCTTTTCCCATTGGGAGGACGTCTCAAAGTGCTTCACAGCATTTATTGTGAGGTGGAGTGAATATGTGTAGGCAAATACGGCAGCCCATTTACAGCAATGGCCCACAAACAGCCATAAAGTGAATCACCAATTTAATCTGGGACATTCTTGGTCATAGAGGATGTGAGACCACGAAAAGTCTACAATACAACACACATTATATAGCACCTTTCCTATCGGGAAAATGTCCCAAGTTGCTTAACAATAATGGCTCAGCAGCCAAGCTGGAGTGGGAGCTGAGTGGTGTGAGGAAGAGAAAGATGACTGAAAGAAGTAGGTCTTGGGGAGATACGTAGATCCTGAGTTCTGTTTTTATTGTGCCAATGTCCATTTAAACTTCCCATGACCAGTCATTATTATTGTAACATCTGTCATTGCCTTTAAGTAACTGAACCGAAGGCTTCATAGAGTTTTATTTATACTTGTGCATACTCAGACTGTGTAATTAATGTATTTCCTTTGTGTGCAATCCTGCCCTTTTATAGAAAACCCAACATAAAATCTATAAAACCTAATAAAAATGCTGGGACGGCATCTAAAAATACTTTTATGAGTTAGGAATATATTTTACAATTGAGCTGCTGCTGACAGGAGTTTAGGCCAATAAATAAGTCATAATTGTTAGATAAACAGAGTGCTATAATAAACATTCATGTCTCCAAAAAATCCATCTTTTTATGGTAACATTTGGAGAGGTTTAACATCTGATGCAAAACGGATGGTTGTGTTTCTAGTTGAACATTTCAGTTTTAATTTTTATAACCTGATTTAGACTCTGATTTCTTTGTATTTTAAAACCGAGGAATTCAATAGATGTGTGTTATGTCAGGATTCTAATAGAGATGTTCATTGTACATTATTACCCATGGAAATTGCTCTCCTCTGATGCATCGATTCCGATTTAAGTAATTTGTTGGGTTTGTTATGGTGATTAATGCTGTAGGTTATTAAATAGAAAGAAAAGAGTTGGTTACATCTTTGCTTAGACTTGCATTATAATAAAAGAGAGGTCCAGTGACTGACCATTCCAATTGATTTACCAATTAATTACTTTCTCTCTTAGCTGAAAATTGTGAGCCTAGATTCAAAATTTGTTCAGTTCTTGTGTTTACCTTTTTTTGCTTCCTTCCAATCTCTTTCCTTCCAAGGTTTATGCTCTCTAAGTAAACTAATCGTGAAAATCCAAGAGCATCCTATAACTGAATGAAATTGCTTTTAATTATTTGTTATAGAGTCAAAAACTATAGATGCTGGCATCTCCTTTCAGACAGAAGTAGCATGTGCTCCTATCACAGGTACATCAGCCTTTCTATTAAACCTTACTGTTTCATGATTAACTTTGCAGGTTTGGCTTAGGCTCTGTCTCCAGAGAAGTGTGCTCTGAGATGTACCACAAATCTTCAGGCACTAATCCTAATTTGCAAACTCGACACAATTTTCCTGTGCATTAGTGCATAATCTTTTAATGAACATAATGTAAATTGTTCTCCCTTCCATATATTTCAAATGTATCCCTGTGTTGTGTTTTACTCGATTGACCTGAGTCTAATCTAATAAATACACATGCTGCTATGACACATTTAACTGTTTTGTTGTTGGATAATTGACATGTTCAACATAGTTTGTGCTTATAGTGTGGTAATAACAGAATTCTACATTGAAAATTATATTAAAGGAAACAGTATTGAAAATTGCTCAAATCCTAACAAACCATAAAAATGTTTCACTAAATTGTTTTTAGAGATGTAGAACGGGCTTTTGTAACTCAACCTAGTTTCGTTTTGACATGCCTGAGCAGGTCTGTCCCAATTATTTTACATTTAAATTGAATTGGCAATCCACACAAGATGCCATTGCAGTGAATTGGAGCTCTATTTATATAGTGCTTCGGTATTAAATTTTTAATTAGAAATTTTTATTCCTAGAAATGTATGTTTACAGCTAAATCTAATCTGCGATAAGAAATGTTCCTCAGGTATAAAGTCACATGTTGTTTTGCTGCCATATTTTTCATCCACTTGATGAGTTTTCTGTTTCTTTAATACAATGCAGGAATGAATGGCAAAAGTATCCTGAATACGATGACCAGGCACACACCAGATGTCAGGAATTCCCAGCTTAATCTCTCCGAGCATCAGTTCACCACTTCAGCTCCTGTTGCATCAGCAGCAGCCACAGCGACCTGCTCTCCTGGTTCCTCCAGGTCTTCCTCCCAGAGGTCCACTGCCGGTACACCCTCAGCTCACAACTCCTCTGGCTCCTCCAAGATCTCCTCCGCCTCACTGCTAAACCCCCAGTCGCCAGGTACTGGTTTGACCTCATCTCACTCTTTCCTATGTCTTCTACTGCTGCTAATGTTCAAGCGCTATGCACAAAGGGTGCTATATAAATGCAAGTTGTTGTTGTAATGTATTCAGAAGAGCTGATGCTAACTCATCGATCTTCTATTCACTTTAGATGCTTTTATATGTTTTTAGTATTACAAAACAGAACTGTCTTTTAAATTGGATGGAGTGGATCTTTCTATTCTGCTACAGCGAACTGGGGGCACCCAGCTTCAGTATTGAGCAGACTTCAATTTAGGGATTGACTGGTCAGCTGCTCTACATTTTGATCAGAAATAAGTGGTCCATCTGGTTTGGCTCAGCTGGTAGCAGTCTTGCCTCTTGGTTAGAAGGGAATGGGTTCAAAAGCCACATTGGAAAATCAGAATCTTGGCAGACATTTTAGTGCAGTATTTGTTAGAGGAGTCATCCTTCAGATGATACTTTAAATTGAAGCCCCTTCATTCTATTCAGATGAACATTGAAGGTCCCATGTTTCTTTTTTTCTCTCTCGGCAAAGAAATGTACAATATTTGTATTTAATATGCTTCCCTTGTGCTTGATTGGCCATAATGAAAAAGGTGTTGAATGTCTCATTGATTACATAACACTCAATGGATTACACTGTCTGGAGCACTCAAACATTTCAATGTAATAAGCATTGTATTGAACATTCCTAAAGATGAAAATCAGAAGTAGAAATACGTGGTCTATAGAGGGAAGTCAAATGAAGCCAGAATTGAAGCTCACTTTCCTAGATTATCATCTACATTATACAATGTATTATATATTATTTCAGCCTCTGTGCCCCTACCCTTTGGAACTCCATCACACAATCCCTTCGCCTTGCTCTCTCCGTTGCCTCCTTCAAGGCACGAGTCGAGACCCTCATTTTGTCCATGTCTTCAACCGCCCTCCTACCCTTCTGCCCTCCCTCATCTCAACCCTGCCCCCCCAAGCTCAGGTCCTAATCCCCAACTGTTCAGCTCATTGTGACATCCTCCCAATGTGAAAGGTGCTTCACAAATGTAATTTTGCTGGTTGTTATTGTATATTATGTTCTGTCAGCAGTTAGTTCCATGAAAAGGTGTCAAGAAATGCAGGCTGAGATACCGTTGATAGTAAACTTATTTATTTGCAGACTTGTTGAGCAAAAGATAGTAAAACTATTTATTCCAATGGATTTTCCAAATCTGGGCTATTGATATATAAGCAAGAGTAAGCACCGTAAGCCTTTCATTCAGAAACTTCTCTTTCATAATTCCTGGACCACATTCCCCAATAGCTACAGTAATTAATATCAATGGCAAGCTATGCGGTTTTAGCTGGTTAGACTGCAGCAGTACCTCAATGCACACTCTGGGGTCCCCAAGCCTTGGCTCTTGCCAACATGTGCCTTAATACTTTCCAGAATTGGGTAAGCCAGATACTTCCCTCCAGGGAGAGAGTGCAAATTCCATTCCAACAATCTATCTCTGGGATTTCCACGTGCCGGTGGGATACACGGAAATTTCAGCTTGGTTTGGATACACTTGAGCATGGTGATGGATTTCCTCATGTGTCAGATACCCGGCTGACCAAAAAGAAAACCTGGAGTAAATCCATGTTTCATTTCATGAGATATTCAGAAAAATCTACCTAAAGACAAGTCTAATCCGTGTTGGCAATTTTACTTGTGAATTACAGCATTGCAAGTATCCCAGTGAACGTAGAAAACATGAGAACATATTTACATATTGTGTTATTGAAAACAACTGATGTATGATAACCTGATTGTTGTTTGATTCTTCAAACCAGACCACGACGATGCAGAGGTTTCCGTTTTGTAGTGGGAGCAAGTTATTTAAGTGACTGACTTTTCCCTTTGCAAATCAGACTTGTAATCATTAGGCTTGGTCTCCATTCATGTTCCTGTCTTAAGTGGGAGGTGAGGTTTTGAGGTTTGAGGCAATTAAATGACTTCTCTGAAAATGTTACAATAGCAATAAATGTTCCTGCTACCAGGATACCAAAGGGAAATGAAAAGGCAGTTAATAAAACAAAGATGACCACAAGAATGTGAGGCATACTAATGGAATATTTTTGTACGATAAGTCTTTGATGAAGCTGCAAAATATTTAGTTGGATAAGGGCTTTGCATGACACTTGATAAAATACAGTGATTGTTTTTCTAAAGAACTGATAGCATTGTGACTGATTGGTCACAGAATACAACAAAGAAGGGGATTTATTCTGACTGAGAAGCAGTATGCAGCTATAAATTATGAGTCTTGTGTTCGGTGTACATAGAAATGAAGAGCTGTAGGCTGAGCTTAACATTAAGCAAACGTTCTTTTCTTCTTCGTATGGGTTTCTTCTAAGTACTCATTCTAATTTGCTGCTAAATCGCTTGAATTAAACAGCCCTGCATTCATGTTCAATCTCTGAGAACAGAACAAAAAAAAACTCCTAAAAAAACAGAGCTGAAAATTAATACTCCAGAGAGGATAATTTTACAGACGTTCTGCATAGAGGGAGTACGCCTTGAAAGGGGGTAAAATAAAGGCTGGAAAATAAAGAAAAACACACAGTACTATAACTGGAACAAGCAACCTCTGCTTATACTTTAGATCTCGCTCCCTCTCTTTTGCTGTACATTTTATAGAATGAGAATTGTACATTGAGAATAAAGACATTGGCTGGTTAGGAGTGCCCAACAAAGCAGAAGCACAATCCTGGACCGTAGTTGAGTATACAACAAACCATTCGCTCTGTTTTTTAACAGATGTTACGGCTTATGTACATTCATGTGATCTGTAAATGTACACTTGCATGAATGATTTATAGCCAGAAACAGCTTGATCGTGGTGGATTGATCAAAACTGATGCTTAAAGCCCAAAACCTATGTGTTTCTAATTCGCAAAGACAAAAGCTGGCAACACTATCTAACCTGTTGTGGCCACATCACAGATGAATATTAATATATCTCCTTGTTAGGCTGCACTGTATTCTCAGCAGGACTTATTCTGTGGGGATGTTATTAAGAAAGCATCACCGACAGCTTGTGGCTGTTCCAGAAATTGCATAATTGTCCAAGTGTGGAGCCATAGGACCTTTTAGGATGAATTTATTCTTTCCCAGCGCCAAAGTGCTGCTCCTGCAAAAAGTGATGCTACTTTTAATTAAGAGCTGCCAAACATTAATTTTCTCACCAGTTTTGTCTTCCATAAACATCTTAATTAAAATCTCAGCATGCACGTTGAAGCCATAAGTGTGTTTCTGATGTACACACTGACGTGATCTCACATTCAGACAGAAGGAAGCGGGGGAGGCTTTGTTAAGTCACAACATCCCATCTGCCCACAACTCAAGGTCACAGTAAAAGATGCCTTGTATAAGAGATCTTTCTTAGTTATCATTGGGGTTTGGAAGCACCTGCTGAATATCAGTCAGATCCTTATTCAATTTGAACAGAAGTGATAGGGGGAATTGGGTTATCTCAGAGGGGGAAGCGGGGAGAAGATTCCTGTGCCAATAAGAACTAATTACCAGAGTACAGTGAATGACTGAAAAAAGGTGGATGACTAAAGCTTGGTTGGAGGAGTAAGAAGTTTGGTATTTAATTGGTGACTCACCCAGAATCGTCTTCATTTAGATGACCTGAGACTACTTACATTTTGGAGTTTTGCTGTGATTTTAAGGAGTTGTGGTCACATCTTGGTTCAGTTGGTAATACGCCTGCTTTCTGGGTCAGAAGGTTGTGGGTTCAAGTCCCATGTCAAGATTTGTGCTCGCAGCCAAACATTTTATATCTGTATTTCATACCCCAAACAACTTAAAGTGAACAAGTTCTTCTTCCTGCTGGGGTGAAGTGAATTGTAAATGGGATATATAGGCTGTTAAAGTTATTCTAGTTTTTGTAATTGTTTTAAAGTGCTTCATTGCTGGAATAAGTAACTGAGAATTGATTAAACAACCAGGTGGAGCTGAAGACTTTAAATAGAAAGTCATACTTAAATGTAAATGTAAGAGGGAAAACTGGCTTCCAAATTAAGCCTGAATTGAAGAATTTTCCACAATTCTACACCAAGTTAAATTTTATGACTGTGTGGTCGTGCTAAGTGGAATTTCGGGCACGTGGAATCTTCTGCCGCTGTGTTACAAGTTTGTAATTGTAACGTGCATGTTCATTGAAAAATTGCCTACCTTTGTTTAGATGATGGAAATTAAAGATTTTGATTGTTCTAAGATAAGGAATTCAAGAGGCCATACTAATAAACCCATATCGAACTATATGTAAATTGAAAGGAGACGAAGTGGTGAAGGTGGAGTCACGAAAAAATGAGAATGAGCTTGGTCAAGAAAAGAAAATAGATAAGAAATAAACCTCTCCAAAAGAAAGAAAGATTACAGTAAACTGATAACTCATCACTCCAATGGAAAAGGGGTCGGTGACAAGTTATCCGGAGTGGCGAGTTCGGCATTTGTGTAGATACATATGTAAATGCGGTTGGGATATTGACAGCATGATGACTTAAGTAGTAGTGACACATTAAGACAGGGTCGAGTTATTAGGAGTTTACTGTATTTTAAATGCAGAAAGAGAAAGACTTAGAAGTGGAGGCAATTAAGACCCAGGATGTTTAACTTAGTATAAATCTTTGCTCCAATAATAATTTTTGCAGCACTATGAAGAGTAATTGTGATACTTAAGGTGGACATATTGCGATCATTCAGAAGATGTTTCTTTATTTTTGTGTCTTGTATTTTCTATGAGGTTTGTGAGATATTTGCTCATCTACAAATTACAATTTTTACAATTTTCTTTGAAACTTTAATTCAGCTTTATTACCCATGAAAATGGCTTTGCCAAGAACCAGATGTTTCATTAAACTTTACTAATCCATCGCTGTTATATTCAACTACCATTGATTACTTTAGTTCTGAATAAATCCGCAGAGCAAGCACACACATCTGCTCACTATTTGTGGTTCATTAAT